ACGAATTAATTTCCATATTGCAGCTGTTATCAAACCTATGGTAAAATAATCCAACAATAGCCTACTCAAAGGTAAGTCAAAGACTCTTCTATGCGTGTAAGTTACAAATACGAATACTGTATGTGACTGCGTATTTGCATGTAATTTATATTTGACACTATACAGAATACAGTCCACGTGATAAATTTGATAAATTGCTTTAATTGTGACATTAGCTTTACTGTAACTTGTTGGTCGATGTTCTTGCAAGTAAAAAGCTAGCCTGCGCACAGGCTCTTTGAATTGAATTAGAGCCTGCCGGTTTAGTCAATAAAAATACGTCTGTGCCTATTACTATTTATAGTGTTGTCAATCAAATTAAAATACAATTAACAAATTAATACAGACATGCCTTATGTAAACAAAACGCAAATCTCGATTACTTTTTAATGTACTTTTGTATTTGAGTGAAAACGTTTAAATTAAAGCACTTGTCTGTCTTTCAAACAACCCTGAAATTCCCTGAAGTAGCAAAAATTAAGTGAATTCACAGCACCGCAAGGGCTTGAATCAGGGTGTCCCAAAAAAACGAAAACCATTGAAATCACCAATAACAATTTAATTGTTAGAATTTGAATGCCCTAGCGCTCTGTTGGTTCCCACGAGTGCATAAATGATTGACATAAGTAAATTTTATGCACAAAGAAACTGTTTAAGAAGCTGTTTTTAATTCCCAGGAGCAGAAAATCGCGCACTTTACCAGGAGATATTCCTAACTAAATTCTAATACATGCACCTTGTCAATATTTTACGCATCATTACGTCCAGCTGTTTGGTAGGGCATTCAAATTTAACAATAAGTAATTTCAATAGTTTTCGTTTTTTTTGGGACACCCTGTAGAATGCTCAAGAATGCAAATTATAGTCGCCTTTGTCTCAGAGTAAAGATGCTATTGTTGATAGAAGAACGTCGCCGTTGTATTTGCCAAACTCTCTTATACGGCAAAAACATCGTTTCCGTCCGGAATATTGTTAAGAACTTTTGACTCTCCACGTACCCTTTAACTTTAAACAAAAATTTAGTTTATACAACTCGTCTAATACATTTTATATCGCTATAGAACGATATTTTTTACTTTGTGTCGACACCTTGAATTTATCATTGTAGAAATGTCATTACCTTTTATGGCAGTTAATAACCAACTACTCAATTTTAACCAATGGGAACCCTGCGTCGTTCTAAGCAACGCACAGACGCGTTTTTATTAGCTAGGCCTGCAGGCTCTCTCTCAAATTTCAAAGAGAGTTCAAAGAGAGCCTGTTCGCAGGCTAGTAAAACGCGAAAAATTTTTACTTTGTGATATATGACACTGAATCAAACTCTAAGTCTAAGTGTTATTTTTTTTTTCTTAACTTTGATCAAATGACTGATGTTTAGGACAACAGGACGTGTGTTCCTAATTAAGTCCCACCAAAGACTTACATTTAAGAAATAGAAAACATTTTCCGTGTTTCTATAGAGTTATAGAATCACGCGTGAAAGTTTGGGAGAAACGAGTACACAACACCAACACAGAAAAAAAAACGATACCAACAACAAGTCATGTTTATGCGCTGTGATCGCAAAAAGCACGAGGGCAAGCGCAGGCACGTAGCGAAGCATCTGAAGTTGAGGGGTGTCGGAGGACTTTACCTGAAATTTGAACTTCAATTACAATGCTAAGAACTTACCTGAAATGCATTAATTATAATAGATAATTTTTCCCATTGATTTCCACTGTTATACTAAGTTTCCGAAGAAGGGGGTCTGTCTGGGGGGTCCTCCTCTGAAAATTGTTACATTTTCAAGCTAAATTCAGATTCGTTCTTAAGCTTCTTTATAACCACGGTATTCTTGTCTTTTCCATATGTCCCGCAATGGACGAAACCGAAAGTGCCGCTACCGTGCTCTTCTACAATTTTAAGTAATTTCCAATCAAATGGAGGCAGACCATGATCTATTCGCCTTCGCTTTATTAGCGATGGCATTTTAAAGCTTCCGTGCACTCCAGACATCCTGAATGTCAGCAGGAAAAAGCGACTGGTAAACGTATTACCGCTATTATATTTGACAATCGCAATCACAATCAAAGCAATGAAATATTATATAACATGTAAGCAGGGCCGCCGAGAGGTTGGCGGGGGCCCGGGGCAAATTTTTTTTAGGGGCCCTTATCTAAAAAATTTTTCCCGGAAAAATTTTTTTCCGGACAACAACCTAGTAATGGCGACAATGCATACCGAAACTCTTTAATTTAGCGCAATCATGGCTATTACACATTCGCTTTACTTAGTATATCCTGCGTGAAGCGGTGAAGTTTACATTAAATGCCCGTTTAAAAGTATTAAACTGGGTTTTTTTCACGATTTCGTGTCCTACAATTTTGGTGTGACGTCAAACTTTCGATTAAGCTTAATTTTCTTTTAGTGCATAATTTGTAAATTGAATAAAATTTTTATTTAAATTTTTATAAAATTTTTATCGGATTCCCCGATTCCCGGATTCCCCGATTCTCGGATTCCCGGATTCCCCAATTTCCGGATTCCTCGATTCCGGGAATCCCCGATTACCCGTTCCCTGTTTTAAAGATAGCCTTACGACTTTTACCAAGACCTTTTACGCACGAAACACGACTATTCACCCAGTTCCGCCAAAACTCAAACATAACAGGCGGCATGCATTCAAGGCAAGTAATTGATGTTCGACGCGGATACATTAGCCATTTAGCCTCATCATTATCCAACCCCCTAAAACAGATTTTTTTGGGTTTATGTTCTTTTTTTATTCGCCGCTTGTATATTAAGCACTTATTAATTGCCACAACTTTTTACAAAGATTAATTAGTTTTTCATGCAGAAAGACGCCTTGCGCTTTTGTTACTTTTCCAACACAAATCTATCAGTTATATGGATCTGGAACGTACTCGAATTTCAGGTCAACTGTCAAAGCGATACATCCGTCTAGCTATTTATGTAAAGGCTATAATAACTGAATTTTTTAATTACATGTGGTTTGTATATAATTTGAATTTGCAATTCTGTGACAGCTGCTGCAAGGAGCCCAAGGACTTTTTCTGTCCTTTAATAAAAGATAAAAAAGGTCGTATGGCAAAATAACTTATGATGATACATGCATGTGTCGGCAAAATATAAATACTTCCTATCTTACACGTTCACCATAATCCATGACGACAGTCAGTATATCAATAGCGTTATACAGACAGTCACTTCGTTTCCTATGCCAAACTTATATGCAAATTATGATCGTAATTGTATATAACATCTCATCTTACATCGCGTCAAAATTGGTAAAAACTAGTCCTTGGTCATTGCCAACGCCGTTGCTACTATTAAACTGCTCAGTTTCGTTAGTGCTGCTGCTACCAAGAAGAAATGAATTAAAAATGTTTCAATACAGTGCGCCGAGAAGGGATTATTAACCCACGGACAAAAGAATGCCTTAGTTGCTTGCCTTCAAAACCACGCCGCAGAAAATGTAAATTTGCCATCAAGACCGCCACAAGTCGAGGTCTCGTCAGCGTTGCTTACTGAATCACAGATAGCGCAAATCCAGTCGATCGTAACGCGAACTGTGGAACAATTGGTAAGCGAAATAGCATCCAATGCAGCCCGCGCTGCTGTTCAAGCCATGGCAAACTCGACACCTAACACTATCGAGAATACCTTAGTCGTCCAGGATGAAAGGGAAGAAATAACTGTTAATCCCAGCTCAAATACCACGTCAACCAACGCGCTTACGTTTGGTTTCAGTCAGGCAGCGAACAGCGTAGCATATGGAAATGGCTTTCACGAGGTTCTCGCGCAGTACATCAAACAAATTCAATCGGATGAGTTTTTTATTTATCTAAATTTTTACCAAAAACCATGTCAACCAATAACCACTCCGACGAGCCTATGGTATTTGTTTCGGACAGTCTGCATAAACATTAAACTCTTTAATTAACTTTATACTTTAGTAATTTTACCTTGATTTAATATGATTATAACTTGATTCAGTATTTTAAATGTTGACAGATAGTAATTATTTAATGACGTAGATAGCTAAAAAGACATTTTTAATAACATTGGACAAAAAAGGGAGTTTTATTGAGAGTACTGCGAGTGAACAGTAAACAGAGAGATCAACAGCCGTAGAGATCCACTCTTCAGGTACAGTGTATTGTGATTAATCATTTGTATTAAGCCATTAGGATAGCTATGAATTTCTCAATCATACATGTAATATTTTGAACTATAATCTAATCAGAATCTAATTATTTACTGTAGAATTTTTTTATATATATATTACGAAAAATCTCTATGGTCTGTGCTTGGTTCAATCCTTGGTAACATGTTCTGAAGAAGGACTAATAAGATTGGCGTCGAGTTAGCAGACGAATTACGGGTTATTGGATAGAATCATGAACGAAAACGATGGCCAAAGCGGCTCAGCTGAGGCAGTACAAGAGACGGTGCATGGTATGGTGAGTCAGACGCGCAAATGAGTATTCTTAAGAAAAAGCGAAGCCAACTCAGAGGTAAGATTACTCGATCTATAAATAGAGCCAGAAAGTTTATAGAAGAGGGCGCAGAGAAGCGTAAACGGATAGAAAAAGAAATCATTCAGATACGAAAGGACTTTGAGTTAGCGCGTGAGTGTCACGCTGAGATGTATGAGTATGCGGGGGAAAGTCAAACCTCAACGATGGACGAGTGGGAAGATATACTCACTAACGATGTATACGACATCGAAGAGATGGTCGAAACCTTTCTCCGGTCCCTCTCTGTGTCCGAACACGCTAACCCAATGTCCTCAACGAGCGAACAGATTTTAGAGCCTGAAGTCAATAGTAACATTATCGAATCAGCAGGAGGCAACGCGCCAGTTAGTCACGAGGAAGTCGAGAGAGCATCAATTCATGAGACCAAAGCTTCGGGAACCGCGCAATCCGTCACTAACAGCGATAAAACTGTGTCAAATGCCGAGAACCTGCAAAATATAGCGTGTAACTCTGTGACAGACGAACTGGATTGCTCAAAGAGCAAAATTAATCCCAACCTGTCATCGCCGCAATCTTTCAACACCTGGATAGACAATTTAATTGAATTTGAAGAAACAGTTTTACCGACTAAAGTGTCTCAAATGTCAATCGCGGAAGCTTTGTACAAATTAGAGTCTAGTAAGGATATTCCTAGTATTGTACTTATTAAATATGACGGAAACCCGCTTACTTATGTTGAATTTATCGAGCGTTTCAAGCTACACATTCATGACCGGCCCCATCTGTCTGACGATTTGAGAATGGTACAACTAAAAATGCATTTAATCGGAAACGCCGAACGCGCTATTAGTGGTCTAGGTTCGCAGGGAACAATGTATGCGACAGCGCTAAAAACATTAAAGGAACAATTCGGCCAGCCAAGCGTCATTGCTAGAGCGTACATAAATAAGCTAGTAGAGAAACGGAAACTCCAGGGTGACGACAGACAAGCGTTGCAAGAATTCTCCTTTGATGTGGTAAACTGCGTAGCTACGTTAAAGCAAATTAATCACCTAGCAGATGTCAACGCGACCGACAACCTACGCAAGATCGTGAAAAGGCTTCCAGATCACCTTATTGACAAATGGAAAGGTGTGGCATCTGATCTCAGAGAGAAGGGAGGTAACGCCCTCCCTTCAACATATAAGCAATTTCATCAGGAAACGCGTAAAGGCCGAATTTGACCCGGACTTTGGCGACATTCAGAAATCAGATTCTCGACGTTTTAAACCAGATCGAAAGGGAATTCACTCGGGTCAAAGGGATACAAAGAAATCGGGAATCCAGTGTTACGTATGTTCCGAAGACCACCGTGTAGCAGAGTGCCCGACCTTTTCCAGCTGTTCCAACGACGACAAGATCCAACACGCCAGAGATCAGCGATTATGTTTCTCGTGTTTAAACCGTGGACACGTGACGAGAGATTGCAAATCGAAGGAGAAATGTGGAGTTAAAGGATGCCCTCGCTTCCACCACCGTTTACTCCAAGTAGATTTCCCATCCTCTCCTACGACAACCCCCCTAAGTTCAGCGACATCTGCGCTCGATAAAGACAGCATCATGCCAGTAGTTAGAGTTCGCTTCAAGTCGGAAAACGGACGAATTCGCGAAGGTAACGTTCTCGTAGACAGTGGTGCTGGTACTACCGTGATTCGGACAAACTTCGCGAGGGCTCTTGGTTTGCAAGGAAAGAGAGAGAAGATCGACATTTCAGTTGTTGGCGGAGAAAGAATAACGCAGAATGACAGCAGAAGAGTTAAGTTTTGGTTATCGCCCCTGAGTGGAAACGAATCTTATCCTGTCGAAGCCCACGAAATCGACAATACGATCATCAATATTCCTGCCCTCGACCGCACCTGGCTGAAGTCGTTCGATCACCTGAAAGACATCGAGTTCCCTCACCGCGCTGGTCCAGTAGATCTGATTCTCGGTGTTCAGTACAGCCACCTTCACGCTGAAAGCGAAGTTCGAGAAGGCCTACCCTTCCAACCACTAGGAAAGCGGACGAAATTGGGATGGCACGTGATTGGTTCAGATAATGCGAAAGATTCGACTGTCAGCTACGTGAACTTTGCAAAGAAAATAAATCTGGAGAAATTCTACGAATTCGAGACCGTCGGAGTACGAGCACCTGATTGTAATTGCCCACAAGAAACGATGTTTCGTGATGGTAAGAAGGCGATGGAGTTGTTTGAGTCTTCCTGTGAGAAGTTAGATGGAAGATATGTTTTTGGCCTTCCATGGAAGAAAGATCCAGCGCAGCTTCCAAACAACTACTCTTTGGCAAAAC